ATATATATATATATATATATATATATGTGAGCCTGTTTGTAAACATGTATATATATATATAGATAGATTTATGTGTATGCCGGTATGCTCGACTGGCCTTCTTAAGGACGATGGACCTTCTTAAGGACGATGGACCTCGAGTTGTCTGTCTTCGCTCTCAAACCCAAGGAGGGCAAGGGTACAGTCGCGCGCAAATGCCAGGACACGGCAGAGAATGTCGTGACAAGAGCCCCCAGGACGTGATCTTCCCCTACCGGGACCAGTATTTCAAGGGCAAAGGCGCAGCGCAATTCCAGGAGGTGATCATGCATTGCAAGTGTTGCCCAGCCAAGCCCAAGGAAGGCAAGAAGAGCAGGATGACACGATCGCTCGCTCGCCACTCGGACCACAAGAACGTGCGAGGATTGCATCGTACGCGAGCTGCAGAAGAGGGCCGGCATCACCAAGAGGGCCTCCCTTCCCGCGGCCCCTTAGAGAGGGCAACCCAACAGTTGGTGGACGAGTCCGACGGCAGAGGGGAAGGCGCCAAGCGGAAGGGAGCGCCACACATTCCCAGCGAAATTCTGTAGCACGTCATTCAGAACGCCTGTTGGATTTGGTACTGCGTGGACACGTGCTGTTGGAGGCAGCAGTGTGACAGGCTGTGACGTCGGTGACGATTGCGCCAGTGAGGCGACGAAATCAGTAGATGGCAGATCATGTCTTCTCGTGGGATTCCCGCGGCAGTCTGCTGCCGCCCCCCTGGTGGTAAACCACATTAATGCTTGCATCGGACCATGCGCATCGGGGTAGGGAGCCTTTTTGCATGGTGGGCGGCGGTTTGGGGCGGCTGCTGGACATTATTTTTACGAGTTCAGTTCGTGAGTGACAGCACCGACTTCTCCCAAGGCGATGTTTCTTCACCCACGGCGAGTTTTTTTTGTAAGTGCGTGGTCGACTTCTTCCACGAAGTTGGCTGGTAGTGTGGCTGGCTTCGCAAGGAAGAGTTCCTGACAGGTGCTGCGCCTGGTTTGTTTGGCCGGGGAGGGAGTCTCTTGGGTTCGGCGGCCCCCTTTTGGCCAGTTTGGTGGTCGAGGGCGGGATGACGTCGGGTCCAGGTCTTCGCGCTGCTGGGCTGGCCAGGTGGTGGCTACCAGCCCCACTTCTCCCTCCACCTACTCCTCTTCCTCCTCCCCTTCCTCGCCCCTCTTTCTAAAACGCTGAACTGCAGAGCGCCTCCTTTTCTTGCCTTCTGTCGCTCTGGTGGTGCAGAGCAGCCCCGAAGTCCCTCGCCACAGGGACCTGCAGACTGCCCGAGGGTCTGGTTTTCGGTGGAAGCGCGGAAGCATCAAGCGGGAGTTTCGTTGTTCTACGGGGGCCGGTTTTTTTGGACCCAGGGTGGAATCGCCATTTTTGGGTAAAAAAGCGAGGCAGCATCGAGCAGGAATTTGGTTTTGTTGGACGGCCCGTAGTCGGCCGCGAGCAACTGCGCCAGCCTCTAGTAAAACGCGAGGACGTGTCGAGTGGGAGCGGCGTCGTTGTAGGGGGACCCGTTTGCGGACCCATGGCGGGAATGCCTTTCCTCGGGGGAGCGTTTTGTACCTTCATGGACATAACGCGCGTCATACCCCCTGGCCCCCCCATCCTCCTCCCCCATGACGCAACGCCCCCCCTCGCCCCATTGCGTCTCTGGCACTGCCGTAGTGCGTCCGGGACCATCGTTGGTGGTGTCAGACTCACACGGCATGGGGGGAGGGCGTTACGTTATGCCCCCTTCTCCTCTCCACATGACGCCCTTCACCGCCGCAAGTAGAGAATCCTCGCTGGCAAAAAGCGAGTAGGTATCGCGTGGGGGCGCTGGTTCTTTGTAGAGGGATGTGTTTCGGCGGCGATCAAGAGCGCCAGTCTAGAGTGATCGACGAGGCCTCGAGCGGGAGCCTCGCTGTTGTATGGAGGCTGGTTTGCGGCGCCAAGACGCCAACGTTTTCCTGGGTACAGCAGAGAGCGAAAGAGCGGTAGCGCCGGTTTTGTTGGAAGGACGGCTTTCGGCGGCGAGCAAGAGCGCTAGTCTTGAGTACAATGAAACGACATCGAGCGGGAACGTCGTTGTTGTAGGGGGGGCCGATTTGCGGACCCAAGGCGGGAACTCCATTCTTGGGTAAAAAAAGCAAAGACGTCCAGAGCAGGAGCGCTGTTTTTTCCCCAACCATCCTGTGGTGTTGGGTCTTCGCTTTCTTCCTTCCTTCATTCTTCCCGCTGCCCCTCCTTCCATGACCGCCATCGCCATCATCAACACCACCATCAGCATCATCACCATCATCGTCTTTTCGTCACCGTCATCATCACCGTCATCATCCTCATCATCATCATCATCAGCATCATCATCGTCATCGTCGTCGTCATCTTCATCGTCGCCGTCGCCCTCATCATCGTCGTGGTTGTTTCGCGCCCCCCCCCCCCGTGGGGAGCTTGAGGGCTCAACTGGCGGCCTCGGTGGCGGGGCTCGCACGCGTATCCCCCACCCAGGGTACAGCGCTTTGTGGCCCCACAAGGAGCCCCACCGACGGCCCCAGTGGCAAAGTTTGCATGCGTCTCTCCCACCCAGTACGGTTTATTCGTGGCCCCCTAGGGAGTTCCACCGAAGTCCCTTATTGGCGGTGTTCAGATGCGTCTCCCTCACCCAAGTTACAGCGCTTCGGGGCCCCATAGGGGAGCTCCACCGAAAGCCTCAGTGGCGGTGTTCGCAAGCGTCTCCCCCGCCCAGCACAGCGCGTCGTAGCCCCATAGGATGCTCCACCGAAGGCCCCAGCGGCGGTGTTCGCATGCGTTTCCCCCGCCCAATACAGCTTTTCGTGGCCCCGTACGGCGCTCCACCAAAGGCCCCAGGGGCGGCGCTCGCATGCGCGCACTCGTCTCCCCCACCCAGGACAGCGCTTCGTGGCCCCACGGGGAGCTCCACCGAAGGCCCCAGTGGCGGTGTTCGCATGCGTCTCCCCCGCCCAGTACAGCGCTTCGTGGCTCCAATCGGAGCTCCACCGAAGGCCACAGTTGCACCGGCCGCATGCGTCACCCCCACCCAGGTTACAGCTCTTCGTGGCCCCATAGGAAGCTCCCAGAAGGCCCCAAGGGCACCGTCCGCATGCTTCTCCCCGCACCGAGTACAAGGCTTTGTGGTCCCATACGGAACCCCACCGACGGCCCCAGTGGCAAAATTTGCATGCGTCTCCCCCACCCTCTACGGCGCTTCGTGGCCCCACAGGGAGCTCCACCGACAGCCCCAATTGCAAAGTTCGCATGTGCCTCCCCCATTCAGTATAGCGATACGTGGCCCCACAGGGAACTCCACTGAAAACGATGCCCACAACTGCGGGACGCACAGTCGCACATGGTTGCGTCTTTCGCCAGGCTATTTTTTGGAGGGCAGCCCCTTCTATTGAGTAGTCCTGCCAGTTCCTGCTCGGCGTGACCGAGCTGGAGTGGTGCCGCTCCGCCTCCGCCTCTGCAGGGCCCCGGCGCGTGCAGGCCCGAGAGCATTCTTCCGCTGCCTTCCCTGAGCCCCACGCTTGCCACAATCCGAACATCTGCCGTTGTGCTGTTCGCCACGTGGCTCCCCAGAAGCGTGGACGCCCTCCCCGGAACCAGCTCTTCGCTCCGAGTCGTTTCTGACGGCCCTTCGGCCGTGTGAGGGCCCCCGGAGGCAGACAACATTCAAAACGTACGACGACGACCACGACGACGACGACGACGACGACGACGACGACGACGACGACGACGACGACGACGACGACTACGACGACGACGACGACGCTCACGCCCACGACCACGCCCACGCCAACGCCCACGCCCACGCCCACGACTTCGTCCACGACGACGTCGACGACGCCGACGCCGACGCCGACGACGACGACGACGCCGACGCCGCCGACGCCGACGCCGACGCCGATGCCGACGCCGACGCCAACGCCCACGCCCACGCCCACGCCCGCGCACACGCCCACGCCCACGGTCACCCCCACGCTCACGCCCACGCCCACGCCCACGCCCACGCCGACGACGACGACGTGGACGACGACGACAACCACGACGACGACGACGAGTACGACCAGTACCACGACGACGAGTACGACGCGACGACGAGGACGACGACGACGACTACCACGAGAGGATGCCAGGATCCCCCGATGCTCGCGCCCTGCCGGCATGCGCTACAGGCCGAGACCCCTGACAGAAGGGAGAAGGAACCCGCGAAGGATCGGCGCCGCCCCCTGCAGTGGTCCCGGGCGTTTGTGCGCAGCGTGGCTCCCAAGAGAGACTGGGCCCTTCCGACTCTGTTCCTCCGCCTCTCCCATCTCCCCCTTGCACTCCTCCTCCTCCCTCTTCTTCCCCCCCCCCTCCTCCTCCGCCTCGTCGTCCTCCTTCCCTTCCTCCTCCTCGTTCTGCTCCTCCCTCTCCCTCCTCCTCCGGCTCGTCCGTCTCTTCCTCCGCCTCCTCTATCCTTCCTTCTCCTAAAGACGTCCCCCCGTCGCACCCCCCGAGAGGTGTCGGCAGGGCGGGCCGGGCGTTTCGCTGGAGACGCCCCCGCAACGGTTTTGTCCCCAGAGCTCAGAAAGGTTGCAAGCGTTTCACGGGCGGAGGGCGGGCGCTCTTCAGCACGTGCTTATCTCCTCTCAGGAGGGGGAAAAACACACAGACACAATTATTTGTCGATTTCCAGGAAAATATGGGAAAACATGGGAAGTGGGGGGGGAAGACAACAACCCAGAAAATATGCGAAAATATGGGGGATTATTTTATTTGTGTCTATTTATTTGTGTGTTCCAGTTCCCCTTCATCCTCACTTGGCCTCGCTCGGACGTGTGCATTTCTCCTTCGGCGAGGACCATCGAGGAGCATTCTCGATCATTTGGCGAAACATCCACGCACGAAGCCAAAAAAAAACAGCACAGGGAATGGACGTCCGAGCGATGGCGAGCTCCGCGCCGCGCACGCTCTCGTCTTGTGTTTCGCGAGTGGAGGGCGGGCGGCGTCCGAAAATCGTGGCCGTCGCCGCGTCAGCGCGCCGCGCACGTTCGATGGCAGTCGCTTGGCAGAAAGCTGCACGGGCGGAGGGCGGCTCCTTTTTCTGAGCATGCGATGCCCGTTCTAGGTTACCAGCCTGGAGCATAGCCCTATCCCTATGCTGGGCACCTCCTCATCACGATGCCAATCTTAGGGATTTCCTGATGTTTTGAGGGCGAACCCCTAAGATTGTCATCGCCTTTCGGCGTGTCAATCTTAGGGATAGGGATACGTTCGAGGCTGGTAACTAGTGCCGCGCGCGCTCGCACCGAGAGGTGCAGGAGCTCACGCGCGGGAGGCGGGGACGGTGGCGGTGTGCAAAACGTGGCTCTCGCTCCAGCACTGCGCACACTCGCTCCGCAAGTCTTACCAGCCTCGAACGTATCCCTATCCCTAAGATTGACACGCCAAAAGGCGATGACAATCTTAGGGATGCGCCCTCAAAGAATAAGGGAATCCATAAGCTTGGCATCGTGATGAGGAGGTGCCCAGCCTAGGGATAGGGATATGTTCCAGGCTGGTAGAAGTCTGCGCAACAGCTTCACGGATGGAGGGTGGGCGGGTTTCATGACGTGGTCTGCGTTTTTTTTTGGTGGCGCCGCGCACGTTCGTTCCAGTGTCTTCAAGGATTTCCACGGATGGGGATCGGGCTGGCTTTCAGCATCTGGTCTTCGCCTCGGCGCCTTGCACATTCGCTTCAAAGGCTTGCAAGGGCTTGCAACGGTTTTCACGTATGGAGGGCGATTCCGTTTCAGCATGTGGTTCTCGCCGTGCCGCCGCGCACATGTGTTTTAAGAGGTCGGAGCAGTTTGTAGGATGTTTGTGGTCGACGTCTCAGACGTGGTGGTTTGGCACGATGTCGGATTGCCAGAGCGCGGCAGTTGTCTGGCTCGATGTGTCGCGGTGTTCCAGTCCCAGGTGTGTTGTTGTGGCTCGATTCCAGATCGCCAGGACGCAACAATCACGTTGATTCGTGGCGCTGAAGTCTCAAGAATGGTGTTCTGGCGCGTTGTAGGATTTTCGGATGGTTTTCCTCCAACGGGGCAGTTCCAGCATTGAGTTTTCTTGCAGGGACCTTGAAGAGGGAATTTGGAGGGAGGGGTCAATTGCAACACGTATCGCAACATCGCGCATTCCCGAAGAGCATTTACAGCCAACCCGCACGGCAAGTATGGGCGATCTTACTAGCGGGATCTTTCCAATTTTGCCACTTCGGCCCATCCTTGGCCGCTTTCGCTGACCGTGCCCCACTCGAACAGCCTCGAAACGGCCTTCCAAGGCCCTTGCATCCTCATCGTGCGTCCTTGTGATACGGGTTGACTGTGATGTAACAGGTTTCTCCTCCCCCCCATTCGAGCGTGGAGCTGCGGGCCTTTTTGGTTTCCTGGACGGCTGCGGCCATTCTACGAAAGGCTCCTTCCTTCTTAGAGGAGAAGCCTCCCCTCCACCTCCTTGAGGGCCGCCTCATAGGAGGCCCCCCCCCTCGCGCCACCCCCCTTTGTGCCAGCCGCCGAGCTCTCCTGGGCGATCTTAGGTGTAAGTCTGGCAGGTTCCTCTACAGGAGGAATATTCAATAACAGTCACAAAACATTATGCGGACGGTTGATTTGAATTCCTTTCTGGCTATCGTTGGGCCTTTTGCGTGCTATTATTCAGTTTTCTTTCAACATCCGCCTGAGCGACTGCGCGAATGCCAGCGTTTGCATACAGCGTGTCACTCGAGTGGTCTCTGCGTCGTGCGTCTAGGGTGTTCCCCCAAACGGAGTGCTGCTTGAACGTATCACGGAGGATCCGTAACCACGTTGGCTCCAGAGCCTCTTGCTCTCCTAGCTGCTCTCGGAGAGGCCCGCCGCTCACCTGCTTCAGGCAGCATGCCGTAACAACGCACGTGGTTACCCCGTGGCCTCGTCGTCATGGCGACGTCCAGCACTGCTGCGCTCTCCGTCTTGCTTGCGAGGCCGCGCAGGAGCCTCGCAGCTCGACTCCGAGCAGGAAGTTCCCAATCCCTGCGCCCAGCCGCACGCCCACTCCGGCGGTGGGTCCCATTGACCTGGGGTACTTGCCATTGTCATCAGTGCGCCAAAATGTGAAGCACTTCTCATGAATCCTCCCAGTCGGCGCTGTGGCGTCGTGTCATGCGCCTCGTCCGCCTCCGGTGGTCTTCTTCCGAAGAAGGAACAACCGCATAACCATAAGCTTTCGAAGGTTCGCGCGGATCTCACGGATCGGGGTTGGACCTCTTCTATTGCCGAAGCATTGGGAGTTCCACGTTCGGAAATTTGAGCATCCACATTGCCAGTGGCGGGCTGTTCCTCAATCCATGGGTTTTTTGAGAGTGTCGAGGCCACGTCGGAGTGCTGTGGTGTGTATGTCTGTCCCCGGTTTCCCCCGGGAAACAGCGAGACATGTATACGCCAGCATCCCGTATGCACCAGGATCCGCTGTCCTGTGCAAGTTCCGGTGCGAGGCTGGAAGAAGCGTCGGTGTATGGATACGCCCCCTGAGATCCTTCAGTTCAGCGATCCGGCCCCTGAGCCTCTCCATGGCGACTGGGGAGGCGAGGATTACTGAACTGCTGGACTTCGGTGCCCTGGTAGACCGAAATCCAGCAGTTCAGGAATCCTCGCCTCCCTGGTCGCCATGGAGATGCTCCGGGGCCAGATCGCCGAACTGAAGGATCTCAGGGGGCGTAGATGGAGTCCGGCTCCTCACGCGTGGACTTCTCCTGCCGCCGCTGGGCTCCCCGCACGCTCGCCCCACGGAGGCGCCCTTTGCCCGGGGACCTCGCCGCTCGACCCCGCCCAGCAGCACCGTGCGGGCGCCGCTCGACCCCGCCCAGCAGCACCGTGCAGGATCGGAGGTGGACAGGCCTCCTACCCCGGCACGTCGATATTCGCGAGAGGGCGTCGCGGCCGTCCTCGGAAGCTGGAGCGTATACATTGCCAGTGGCGGGCGGTGTTTCAATCCCGAGGCTTTTTGGAGGGTCGGGGACGACGTCGGGGTGGTGTGGTGTATACTTCTTCCCCGCTTCCCCAGGGAAACACAGAAACATGTATACACCAGGACTCCGTATACACCAGGATCCGGTCTCTTGTGAGAGTTTCAGTGCAGGGCCGGAAAAAGCGGTGGCGTATAGAGTTCGGTTCCTTACCCCCCACGCCCGTCTGTGGGGATCGGAAGTGGATAGACCTCCTACCCTGACACGTCGACGAAGGAATCGGCCGTTTTCGGTTCGCGAGGGGGCGTCGCGGCCGTCACTTTTGCGGGTCCAGGTCCGTCGGTTTCGGTCCCAGGCCGTTTGCACTAGATAGAAGGAGGCTTACTAAAGAGAGGTTTGTCCATCGCCGAAAGGAGCCGAACTCCATACACCACAGGAGAGCGGATCCTCGCGCTGAAACTCGCACAGGAGAGCGGATCCTGGTGTACACGGAATATTGGTGCATACATGTATCGTTTCTTCCCCAGAGAAAAAGAAAAAAAAAAAAAAAAAAAAAAAAAAAAAAAAAAAAAAAAAAAAAAAAAAAAAAAAAAAACGGGGAAAAGAGCACACACCACACCACCCCGACGTCGTCACCGACCATCAGAAAGTCCTGAAAGGCAGCCCGCCACTGGTAATGTGTATGTTCCAGTTTCAGATTATGAGCTGGTCTCCCCTATCGTTTCGGCCGCTCGTTCGAGGAAGGGCAGATCAGCATAAGCACAAACTTCCAGAGGCCCGCGCGAAGTGGCCCCACTGGTATCGTCGCGGGGCCCCTCTGGCGACGCCTCCTGCGCCACTCCTGGCGCGCTCCGCGCGCCATGGAGAGGGACCTCCAGCGCCGACCCGATGAGCCCGCGCGGGACTCCGAGGGTTCGCGTGCACGTCGTCTCTCCTTCGGTTCCCGCCCTGATCGTGCACGCCCGCGCGCGCCCTCGGGGAGCGATGCGCGGGCGCGCCCGGCCAGGAGTTCCTTCCCCGGCAGAGCTCGACAGGAGGAGGGAGAGGATGATGATGATGATGATGTTGATGATGATGATGATGATGATGATGATGATGATGAGGAGGAGGAGGAGGAGGAGGAGGGGAGGAGGAGGAGGAGGAGAGGAGGAGGAGGAGGAGGGAGGACGGGGGAGGAGGAGGAGGAGGAGGAGGAGGAGGAGGAGGAGGAGGAGGAGCAGGGCTCGTTTCGAGCACGCCCCAAATCCGACCGGCGTTCGGTTGCCGCGGTATCGCAGGCACCACCTGGGACAGGCTGGTGAGTCCACGACCGAGCGATGCCGCGGGCGGGAGGACGGGCGCGGTGGGGAAAGAGACCAGTGGCCGCCACGTGGGCGCGCAGCCGCCTCCTTCGTCCTGCTCTTCTCCCCCTGTCAAGGGTGGCACTGCTAATGCGGTGTGAGAGTGTGGGTTCAGAAGGGGCGTGGAGATCGAGATCCAGAAGGCGGGCATGCTCTTCCGCGCCACGGCGCAGTCATCCCCAGCCTCGCCGGGGCCGCACCGCGCAAGGGGATCCGTATCTCGTATCTCGTATCTCCCCCGTCAAGGGCGCGCCAACATGGATCGGGGCGCGCGGATCAGCGACGGGCCCCGATCTCATGCGAAGTCCGCGCGCTCCGTCGCCAAATCAACAGCGGCGCTGGCCTCATGGCTGGACGGATGCTTCCCCCGCTCCGTGGGCCTGGCGCCCCGCGCGCCAGATCCCCGGAGCCCTGGCCCATGATGGCGTGCGCCCGACCCCCGGGAGCGGCGCGGTAGTGCCAAGGGATCCGCGTATCCAGAAGGCCACAGGCGAACCCGACCCCCCCCCCCCCCCCCCCCCCCCACCACACACACACACACACACGATATCTCAGCAGGGAGGAGGTCCCGATCGATCGAAGAAGTGAACCCCGCATCCCTCCTCAGAAATCGGGGTGGGGGGGTGGGGCAGGGCTCGCATGTGGCCTCCTAGAGTCGCGCAGCGCGAAGCCTCGGTTCCCCCCCCCCTCACTTCCCCTCCCCTCGGCTGCCGCCGACTAACGTTATGATGTTCCAACCTACTTTAGCCTCGACCACCAGGAAGAATTTCGAGCACCAGCCAAGTACCCGAAAACGTGAGAGCTTCCACGTGCCTGGCCCTGGGAGGCACTCGTTTCGACACTCGTTTCGACACTCCTTCGGCACTCTTCCGGGTGCTCGGAATAATGCCTGGCATGTGGCTCTCAAGTACGCTGGGAGCAGCATAACCCCAGGAAGCATTTTAGAACCCCCCCCCCCCTTCCGGCAAATCGATAACCCTTCCGCACCCTGGAAGCGTTACCTGGCACCAGGAGCCCTCCTCCTCCTCCTCCTCATCCTCCTCCTCCTCCTCCTCTGTGCGGGTGCTAAACCTATCGTGCGGTTATTTCGGCCCCTCGGAATATCGAATAAAAATGCGGTGCTAAGATATCGCCGGGGGGGTTCTTAAATGCTTCCTGGGGTTAAGCCTAGCGCTCACCTGGTGGAGGTCGCCGTGCGCCTCGTCGGCAGCGGCCCGGCTTCGGGCGTGGGCGGAGGCGCCGGCTCGGGGCGGGCCGTGCAGGGGTGTGGCGGCCGGGCGGCGCGGCTGACGCTCCAGGCCACGCGGCGTTCGCGCCGCCAGGCGGGGCTCGGCCATCGCCCGTGCCGATGAGGAGGAGGAGGGGGATGAGGAGGAGGAGGAGGAGGAGGAGGAGGAGGAGGAGGAGGAGGAGGAGGAGGAGGAGGAGGAGGAGGAGGAGTAGGAGGACGAGGAGGAGAGGAGGAGGAGGAGGAGGAGGAGGAGGAGGAGGAGGAGGAACCTCGCGGCTGCAGCGCTCAAGGAGGCGACGACCTCGGAGGGCCCCATCTGCCGCTCCAGCGGTGAGTGGCGCCGAGGGGAGGGCGGCCGGAGCCGGGGGGCAGGGGGGCTGACTAGCAGTGGCAGCAGCGGCATGTGCAAGTGCCAGCCCAACCAGGAGAAAGACAAGAAGTCCGAGGCCGCCCACAAAGACTCGAGGCGAAGCAACGTCGAGAAGGACAAGGCTCTGGGAGGGGTCCGATCAAGCGCAGTGGAGGACTCTTGGTGCAGTGGTAGAGGTGAACGAATCAACGAGGGTGGGCGACATGGGAGGAGGAGGAGGAGGAGGAGGAGGAGGAGGAGGAGGAGGAGGAGGAGGAGGAGGAGGAGGAGGAGGAGGAGGAGGAGGAGGAGGATCAGCAAATTCGGTGCAGGATCTAAAGGAGTGGAGGAGGATGGCGCGAAGGATGCGGCGGAACGACAGGAAAGCGGTGAGGGAGGACAGAGACGGAAACTATCTAAGCAACAGGTGATACCAATGGTCGTGATGATGAGGAGGATAATGATGAGTCTGGTTGACCATGGGCGGAGGGACAAGAGTTACAGGACGAGCAATGAGAGGCGAGGATGAAAAGGACTGGGGGGCATGGGAGGGCTGACGGTGTCGTGAGAGAAGCAGCGCGGCACCGCATAAAGGGCAAGGTTGGGGTCGGCGAGCGCATACCACCAGGAGGCGTTTTGGACGGGGTGGGTGCGCAAAAGAACCTAAGCGCGCGCGAAGCGCTTGCGTGGTTCTATTCCATGTGAATACATGTGTATAGATATATATCGTGTTCTCTTTCCCTCTGGCTGCTGCTAATCCTGCCCTCTCTCCTGACCCCGGCGCTCCCCTCGTTGCCTGTCTGCCCCGTCCTCCGCTTCCCTCCCTCCTCCCTGCTTTCCCCTTCCCCCCCCCTCATTCCCCCCCCCCCCTCCATCCCTCCCCTCCTCCCCGTCGCCCCCTCCGCTTCTCGTTACCTCCCTCTCCCCCTGCTGCTCCCCCTCTCTACCCTCCCCCATCCCTCTCCGTCCCTCTCTTCTGCCCCGCCGGGTCTTTTCGCCGCCCTCCTCCGCCGTTTTTCTCCCCTCTGCCCCGCTGTAAAATGTGTTTGTTCCCTTCCTCGTCGCGCCAGGCAGTGACGGGGCGGCCCGAGCGCTGCGGCCGAGGCGTTCGCGCACAGGCCGTGCCCCCGAGGCGTGGCATCCCTGCAGGCCGCACGGACGGAGGGCGCGAGGCTATGCTGAAGTCGGGCGTGTCGCCCTGCAGGGGGACTATTCACAAATGGTAGAAAAATAGCCTGGGGACGGTTTTCCTACGATTTTTGAATGTTTGTGGATGATGTTGCAAATGCCCGAAATCCGCCTGTAGGGGGACATGCCCGACCTAAGGCCATGCCACAGTCGCTTGTACGGGTGAAGGCGGCCCCGCGGATCCTAGCGTGCACCTGGGCCCCCCGGGGAGCTCGTAAGCAGCTCCTCTCCTCTTCTTGCTCTTCCTGCTCGTTCTGGCGCTGTTCTCCCGTCTCCTCGTTGTCCATTCAAGGGCGCCCTCGAGGGCGCGAAGCTATTCGCGCTTCGCGGTTCGGCGCCGATTCCTCCTCGTCCTCCTCTTCTCCCCTGGGAGGCGGCGCGAGAGCGCGAAGTTATTCGCACTTCGCGCAGCGCGAAGCGCGAAGTTGGGAGCCCTTATCCATTTCCTTCCTCAGACGGCGAGCCGGGGAGGCCAACCGAAAGGCTTCCGAGAAGGCGCACCGGAAGCGCGACAGGAGCAGGAGCAGGAGCAGGAGCCGGCCGGCCGGGAGGTCGGAGGTCGGGGCTCGGCCACGCGGATGTAAGTCAGGAGGGGAAAAAACACACAGACACAATGAATCCTCGATTCTCCAGAAAATATGGGAAAATATGGGAAGTGGGCGGGAAGACAGAAACCCAGAAAGTATGGGAAAATATGGGGGATCTTTTTATTTGTGTGTATTTATTTGTGTGTCCTGTGGCCCCTTCAGTAAGGGGGGGGGGGGACACGTCGTGTATCAGGATATGTGGGGGCCCTGGTCGCTTGTCTGGCACCGCCTTGTGTTGGCGTGCTGATCGCGTGCCTCCACTCTTGGCTGCCTCGTTGGACTTCGCCCGTCGCCAGCCTCTGGGCGCGTCCAGCAGGCGTCCCGGTGCCTTCGGGCAGCTTCGGATGTCTCAGGGTCGCCGCTGACAGCCCCACGGTGCTGTCGTTTACCGTCGAAGTCTGCACAGACAGTTGGGGCCATGGGGGTGAGGAGGAGAAGGAGGAGGAGGAGAAACAGGAAAAGGCGGAAGAGGAGGAGGAGAAAGAGGAGGAGGAGAAAAGAGGAGGAGGAGGATGTGGAGGGGTGGGAGGAGAACCCCTCCCCGCGATTCGGCACGAGGCAGGCGGGATCCCCACGGCGACCCTTCTGTTGTCAGCCCGCCTTGCCTCCGGCCCGTAGCGAGCTCTCCCGAGGACGCACCGAGAGAAATTATGCTGGAGAAGGGCCCAACAATGTGAGGTGTGCGCCACACTGAGCGTCGGGCGCATGCGGACCCGCTGGGGCCTTCGGTGGAGCCCCCTATGGGGCCACGAACCGTATGGTAGGAGGGAAGGCGGGGAGAAGGGGGAGGAGTAGAGGAGAGGATGAGAAGAAGAGAGGACGCGGGGCGCTGTCTCTTCAAGCCAAGGACCCACCACCACATGATGGGTGGGAAAAGCACATGTTATGTCGGGGGGGTCAATGCACACGGGGGTCAGGCAGAGCGCCGGATCTTGCAGGGTCCTGCAAGGCCAGGGCTGCATTGACCCGGGCT